GTGTGAGTGTGTGTGTGTGTGTGTGTGTGTGTGTGTGTGTGTGTGTGTGTGTGTGTGTGCCCCCCCAACTTCCAACAGGAGTCATTTGGGGGGGCTCTTGGGAAAAAAGGTTGGGAACCACTGCTCTAAGTTCATCTAAGGGTTAATAGAATGATAAAATATTCCATTTCAAGTAAAGAACTGAGGATAAGTACTCTGTATGCAGAAGGGCTCTTTTCAGATATTATATTACTTTGTTTTATGATTAAGAAATACATGTTGAAGCATTTTAATGTTGTAGTTTGTCACGATGTAACTAGTAGATTAGTAGTAATGTGATAGTGGAGTAAAAAGTACAAATATTACTCTCTCAAATGTATAGAAGTATATATAGCAAGTATGTCTAAGATGGTACTGAAGTGCAGTACTTGATTAAATGTGTATTTGTACGTGCATCTTGAGTATATTCGGTACCTGCAGGATGGCGACCTCGTTCCTCAGCTGGCTCTCCTGTTTGGTTGGAAATCTCATTTTGTCGATGATTTTAATCGCCACGTCTCTGCCCGTCTTCCTGTGTTTACCTGCGGAGGAAAACACTTTAGCTCTCGACTGAAACATTAATCAATTAACTAATTATCTACAGGAAGCAATCTGGATTTAGCAGGAAGACGATCCACACATGAAGTCATTTTCTTCGCCTTTTTATTTGAAGAATACTTTCTGCCTGTTTGGTAGATTCAAGAGGTTTGATGTGTTCGATCCGGCTTCTTCTCTTGATCTGGCTTTTAACCGTAAGTGCTGCGTGTGCAATTTAGTTTAAAGCAGGGATGGGCAACTTGGATGGTGGTGGGGGCCACATCATTGATGTACTGGCCACCAGGGGGCCGCAGATTCACTTGGAACACACACACACATTCCATGTATTGTATGTAATTATTAACAAATATACTAAGTCTGACATCTTCATTGACATTTTACAATCTTTCAGGGAACATCCTCCAATAAGCTCACTGAACAAATATCAGTTCACAGAAATGTTATTTAATTAAAGTGGCATGTTTGGATTGAACAGGTTATTTAACAGTGGAATAAAACTATTGGAAAGCACGGAAAATGTGTGTGTATTGAGATTAACCATTAAG